AATTCGTGAATCCATTTTACAATTGGATATTTTAAAAAAAACAATTAATGATAGATGGAAATTAATTTTAGATAATAATAATAATAATAATAACAATAATAATAATAATAACAATAACAATAATCAAAATAATAACAATAATAATAATCAAAATAATTATAATGGTATAAATAATAATAATATATTTGAACAACATAATGGTCAATTAAAATTTAAAAAATTAAAAAGTACAAATGAAGAAATTAATTGGTGTTTTGAAAAAATGAAATCTGGGTTTAAATCATTACAATCAATTGATTTTAAAAATTTAGATAGAGAAACTAGAAATAATTTTAAACAACAATTATCAGATTTAATACAATCATTAAATTCATTTAATGATTATAATTATTAAATATTAATAAAATATTGATAATTTCATATTTATTTCATTGAAGGATCTTTAATAATTTGAGGTTTATAATTTGGATCAATATATTCAGTTAAAAATTTAGCATAGATTTCATAACGACCAGTCATTTGGAAATTCCATTTATCTTTAACTTGTTGGCAAAGATTTAAATCGACTTCAGAGATGTTTAGACCATCTCTAACTCTAGAGAGACCAGGAGTTCTAGAACCATCAGGAGCAGAAACATAGGAACTACCATAGAAATGACCAAAATCTTTATGAGCTGGTTTACCATTACCAGAGGTGAATTCATTTGGGAAATATTCAGTACCAACACGATTGATAGAACCTACAAAATAGTTATTGGTCATGGAAGCATTTCTAGCTTCAATAGACCACATTGGTTCAGATAGTTCACCAACAGTTGCAGATGGATTAAATACAATTTCAGCACCATTTAAACCATATGCCAACCAATTGAGATTATGATGACGACCATAACAAATATTGATTCCAATCTTTCCAAAAACAGTTTCAAATACTGGATGACCAAGTGTTGATTCCATATAATAGGTAGATTCATTAAAATCACCAGTTCTTGGTATATGATTTTTTCTTGATTTACCAATGATATTACCATTGTTTCCAACAACTACAGCAGTATTATGAATGGTACCACCGTGAACATCATCTCTCTCCAAAATTGGTGATACAATAACCATATTATACTTTCTAGCCATTCTTTGAATAAAAAGTACAGATTCACCATCAGTTGCAGATTCAGCAAATTCAACCCATGGATATCTTTCACGAGTACAAAATGCAAATGGCATATGCCATGTCTCTTGTAGACATAATACATTAACTCCCATTGCACCTGCTGCATCAATCATCTTTTCAATCTTTTCTTCAATAGCTTTATACTGTTCTTTAACTGGTGCTGTTGTTGGTGCTCCTATACAATTTTGAATAACTCCAATTCTAACAATTCTTGATTTTCTTAATTGTTCATTTTCTGCTGTCATCCTTTTTTTTTATTAATATATACATCTCTTAACTTTCTACTTTGAATACATACTTTGAAGCTAAAATTTCAAAATCATGAGATTCAGCAATTTGTAAAGCTTCTTTATTAATTGGTAATGGTTGAACTAATTGACCTCTATTTAAACCATATAAAATCTTTTTAACTTCTTTTAATTCATTTTCTGGTATATATTTTTCAAGTATAGTTTCAACTTTATCAATTTCTTCTTTTTTATTATTTAATGTATCCATTTTGATCAGATTATGAAAAAATGTTTTATTATTAACAAAAAAAAAAAAAAATAAATAAGATATTTTTTTTGAAATTTCTATTTTTTTTTTTTTTTATTTTTTATTTTTACAAACACTTTAAAAACTTGATGTGTTTAATGTTGGGGTTAAAAGGGGGATTTAAATGTTTAAGTATTTTTTTGATTTAAAGTTATATATATCTATAATGATAGTGAACACCAATATATTTAAAAAAAAACAAATATTTTAAAAATTTTTTTTTTTTGATTTAGAATAGAATATTTTTTATATATAGCTATAACTAACCTAAAATGACAGTAGTAATACAATATTTCTATTGTTGTTATTTTAAATAATAATAATTGATTTTTTTTTTTTAAATTAAAAAAGTTTTAATTTAATTTATTATATTTTTGTTGTAATGATAAGATCAATTTTATCCATTTTATTTTTTATAATTAATCTTTTAATGTTTAATAGTATTATACACACTTCTAATGGATATATTCATAAAAATGATAATTCATCAATAACAAATAATATTATAAATAATATTGAAATTTTAGAAGATTTTAATTTTAAAAAAATTAAAATGTTACCAAATACATGGAAATTTGTAGAATTTGGAGATTATAAATTTGATCAAGGATTATTTTATTCAATGGCAGAAGAGAAGGGATATATGGAAATAAATTCACATCCATTTACAAAAACTGTATCACCACAAGATAAAATTTATGGTGAAATGGATCATCCAAAATTATTTATGATGAATCAAAAGGAATTTATAGTACCAACATTTGGAGAATTGGTATTTAATTGTAAGGTTTCTGCAAGAATATTGGGTTTAGAAAATTTACCATTTCCCAAAGAGTTGGTACCTGATCCAAATAAGGATTTACGATTGGCATTTACAGGTATACCAATTAGTGGTGATAGCAGTAGCATGTTAATGGCTTATTTTGGTATAACTAATGAAATGATTTATGCACTCTATGAAAGAGCTCCAATTAATAAAACTTTAATGGGTGGTGATTATGCTGCATTTTTATTTGCCATTCCAGTTGCCAGTAGATTACCAAATGATTTTCACGATTTATCCATTGTTTGGTCGAAACCAAATAAATCCATTAGTTATCTGATTGATGGTAAAAAAGTTTATGAAATTAATAGAGTTGGTTGTAGAATTGATAGAAAATTTCTAGTTTATGATGTTGGTGGTGTTGATCAGGAAATCTTTCCAGAGAAATTACAGGTGGCGTTTGGTAATTTTGATGTTTTAGATGCTGCCCCTCCTATTCATAATATCTCTTCTAATCAAATTCCAAGTCAATTGATTAAAGGTCTGGTTCAAGTAGATCCAAATCTTGAAATATTTAATCCTATGGCTCCATCTCTTTCTTTAACCTATTTTGATAATCAATCTCTTCTTCAAAATAGATTATTTGGTCAAGGTATAATTTTAAATTTAAAATCAATTCAAATTTATTATAATAAATAAATTTATTAATTTTTATGCTATCATAATATTAATATATTACTTGAGAATCTACTTATCCAGTTTCAACTCATTAGTTTCTTGTACTGTATCACTATCAGTAATCCTATCTGAGTATTTGCCAAACTCTCATTATAAATATTCATTATAAAAATTATATTCAAAATATACCGGTGAATTCAAATTAATTATATTTATGTTTGAGATGAAGAGGAGTAAAAAAATTGTGATATAAATTTTTCACAAAAAGAAATTTTATTATATTTTTGATTTTAACACTATAGAATAAATTATATTTTTTTATTTCGTATTTCTCATATAAATACGATAACTGGGCATTTCAAGAGTTATTTTTCCGTTTTTTTTTGGACCTGTGTAACTAGCAATGCGCCAGTACTACGGTAAAGTCTTAATTACGTTTATTTATTGAGAGGTATTGTCTGTTAAAATTGTGTTGTGGTTGGTGTTAAATGGTATTTATCTAAGAGTTATTTTTCCTTTTTTTTTGTGGCCTGTGTAATTAGCAATACGCTAATACGGCGGCAATCAGTTATATAAGTTAATTTATTGAATTATATTTTTGTTTACATTAGTTTATATATTGTTGTTAATTTGTTAAGTTGGGTTGTATTATTGTGAGTAATTTGTTTTGTTTTTTTTTTTTTTTTTTTTTTGGATTCTTCATTTCCTTGGGGTTTCTTCTTGGGGGTGTAATAATATTTCAATTGAGTGATCTTCTAATTGGTTCAGTTGTGGGGTGTGATTTTTGTTTTTGTTTTTTTTTTTTTTTTTTTTTTTTTTGAATATGTTTAATTGTGTGGAATTGGGAGGGGTTTAAGAGGAGTTTGCCAACTCCTATTGAATACAGATTTTAGCAGGACATCATCATTATTACTTTTGATTTTAGATTGATACGCTAGGTATTTAAGTAGTTTCCATTTTGCTGTGTTGATGGTGTCTATCAGTTCTTTTTGGATTATAGCAGTGTTCATTTCGGGGATCGGTTTGGTTTCTTTGTCAGTTTCAAAGAGATTATAACATACAATTTTCCACATTTGGTGCATTACTATCGAGATCAAGTTAGGATATACTTTTTCTGTTTTGTTGATAGTGGTCAGGTCGGTAGCATGAATGTTCCAGAGGTGTATCTTTTTGAATGATAGATGGTTCACTATTTGGACAATAGCAGGGGCATATGACGTTGTCACATTGCATTGGAAGAAGAAGTGGACATATGGATCAGTGATCGATTGACGACATGAATCTATTGGACAGTTCATTCTTTGATGGTTGATGCCCGGAAGGCACCTGGCAAAGAATCTGAAAAGTGTGTTTCTTCCTTTGTGGTGGATAACTTTGGATATCTTTTGGAATATACCGTTGATGTTGATATTATACCGTAGGTTCTTCTGACCATCTGTAAGTCTAATGGACGTGTATTTCTTAATGACTAGGTTGGCGTATATATCTCTGAGTTTGATTGGTCTGTTAGACATGTTTCTGATTCCATTTACCCACTTGACATCTTCAGTTTCTTCATTTAGTTTATTCAATTTGGGCATGGTAGCAGCGTGGTTGGTTCTATAATCTTTCCAAGCTTCCATTTGATTTCTCAGAATGCTAGATACTATTCTACCTGTTGTTACTTGTTGAATATACCACTGTTGGACTTCATTACATTCTCTATCGAAGTGGATGCATAGGAGTCTATTCATGTTCCAAATCTTGAATGCTTCTTGTCTGAGTTCCAGATCCCACATCTTAATACCACCAAAGAGTTATTTTTCCGAGGGAAAAAAAAATTTTGCAGTGGAAGCATAAAAAATAGGGTTGTGCTTCATCCGAGGCTTGAACTCGGGACCTTCGCATATCATTTACTATTATATAAGTACGACACTCTACCAGCTGAGATAATAAAGCTTTACCCATGCATTATAAAAAACACACTCCCCATTTTCACCCCAAAATTTGAGAAATTTTTAATTTTTTTTTAATTCTTCGCACCAAAAACTGAACTAAAACATAGTTATCAAAAAAAAAAAAAAATAATTCATATAAAGTTTCATAAAATATTTATTGATATTTAAATCATATATATTTTGTTAATTAAAAAATGAAAAGAGATTTTAATAGTATACTATCTATTAATAATCATTTTACAAATGTTTAAACCACATATTATTATTAATTATTTTTTTTTTAAAAAGAAGATAAATCTAAATCACTGAAATAAGGATGATTAAGAGCAGCTTTTGCAGAAATTCTTCTAGAAGGTTCATATTGTAACATTTGATCCAATAAATCCAAAGCCAAATGATCAACAATGGTTGGAAAAGTTTTAGAAAGAGGTTGACCAATCCAATTTGGAAAAGTGGCAACAAAATTTGGTAGACTAGTGACACCTGGCCAAATGGATTCAGTTGGAGTACCCAAAATTCTAAAGATTCTATAGATTTGATCAATTTCACAATCACCAGAAAACAGAGGTTTTTTAGTGAGCATTTCAGCAAAAATACAACCAACAGACCAGATATCAACTGGTACTGAATAGGTTTTACTACCCAACAAAACCTCTGGAGCTCTATACCAGAGAGTTACAATCTCATGAGTGTACAAACGTACTGGAATACTGATGGCACGTGCCAAACCAAAATCTGCCAATTTCAAAGCACCCATTCTATCAATGAGTAAATTTTGAGGTTTCAAATCACGATGTAAAATTCTGTGACTGTGGCTGTGAGCCAAACCCTTTAATAACTGATAAAGATAGGATTTTACCAATTGTGGTGACATGTATTGAACTTGATCCATATATTTTTTCAAATCCTGATCCAAATATTCAAATACCAAATAGAGTCTATTGGAACAATGTAAAACATCATACAATGTTACAACATTGGGATGTGGAATATCTTTTAAAATGGAAATCTCTCTTAATGCTGTACTTGGTACTCCATCATCTTCTAATCTAATCTTTTTCAATGCTACTAATCTACCTGTTGATTTTTCTTTTGCTTTATAAACTTTACCATATGTACCTTCTCCAAGTTTTTCTAATTTTTGAAATCTTGATAATCCACCATCTAAATTATTATTATCCATTATGTATTTTTATATTTAATCCGAAAATCAAAATCTTTTTCTGTTTCTCGTTAATCTCTTTTTTTTTTTATAATATTAAAAATGAATTTATATTATTTCTATTGTTATTCTATTGTTTTATATATATAAATTAATTAATTAGTTTTTTATTGTTGTGTTCACCAAAATTATTGTAAATTGTAACATTTTTTTTTGAAAAATACAAAAAATAAAACAAATATAACAATACTATTATAAATCTCTGTTTAGGTATATGTAAAAAAAAAATAATAAACATAAATTTCATAGATATGGTAATACTTACAATATTGTATTTACAGTGATATTCAGCTTTTTGTGATGTTGTGAATAAAAAAAAAAAAAATGAAAAAACAAAAAAAATTTTTGAAAGTAATATAATTTTGGCGGGAACTTTTAAATACTATTTTTACATTTTTAATATTAATTTTAAGAACTTATAAAAATTAAAAAAGATAATATTTTTAACCTTAAAATATATGTTAACATTATATCAATCAATCAATTTATTGAATTTTTTTTATTAAGATTTTTTTTTTTTCGTTTATCGTTTTTTTTGTTTTTTTAAAATTATATATCAAAGATTTAAAATAAATATAAAATAAAAAGTTATAACTTTATCAAGATATAAACACTTACCACAATTTTTAAAAGTTTTTTATTATTATTATTATTTTTTGTTTTTTATAAAAATTTTTTTATTATTATAATTTCTAAATATTTGAAAATGGTGGATAATGATAACAATATTATTATTCAACAAGAAAATGATAATATTAAAAATAATAATAATCAACACGAACAGGAAGAAGTAAATTCTTTAAAGATTACAAAAATTATAATTACACCAGAAAATAGTTCACCTAGAAAATCATTATTAACTGAGAAACTAACGCATTCGCCCGAAATAATGGATCAACTAACTAAACTATATTCAAGTTCACAATTTAATTCTTGGATTGGTGTTAGTCATCTATTTAAACATCAACTTTCTAATGGTATAACTGATTTTATTTGTAATAAGTTATATCAATTAGAAGATAAAGATATTGATTTTTATATAACTCAATTATGGTATGATATCCTGTGTATATATACATTAAACTTTATTTTTATTAATATAGTATATTAATATAAATGTAAAGTATATTATTATGGAATCAAAAATGCGATCAAATATCACAATTTTCATCATTAGCACGATTTATATTAGATAGATGTTCAAAATCAATTAGATTTGCAATTAAAGCATATTGGATATTTCAGGCATTAGAAGAAGATGGTGATAGAAATTTAAATTCAATTGAAAAGAGTGTTGTGTTTCAATCACCTCCTTCATCACCTTCACAAAGAGATGTTCATCAATATACCAATGAACAAATTACACCTATTGATTTAGATAAATTTTATAATACTATTGATAATTTTGATCAAACAACAACAACTAATAATAATAATAATCAAACAAACAATAATAATTTACAAGTTAATAATTTTAGTACATCACCAAAAGAATTAGTAAAAATAATATCAACTACGCCAATTGATGATATAAATAATCATATACATTTTATACAACCAAATGACGCAATGGAAAATATAAATTGTACATTAAAAGGAAACAGAAAAATTTATAATAATTTGCAAGAAAAGAAAGAATTGGCAATTAGACTAAGAGAATTCTCTGAAATGTCATTTATTGCTTGTAAAAGACCAATAATAACTAGACCTAGAACTTCATCTTTACCAATTGATGATATTAATAATAATAATAATAATAATAACAATAATAATAATGAAATTAATAATGAAATTAGTGAAATTGAAAATTGTAAAACACCACCACCTATAAATAGTAATAGTAGTTTATCAGATTATGATTTTGAATTTGAAATGACAAAATCTTATAGATGTGACTATTTTAATGAAATTTTATCATTTGTTCAGAAATTGAATAGAATTGCAAAGATACTATTACCAGTACCATTAGATATTAGACAAGCAAAACTAAAACATGAAATTTCACAATTAAATTTAAAATTACCATTGGGATTATATTTACCAATGTGGCAAAGTTCTAATCATCATTGTATTGTAAGAATACCACCTGAAGAAGTTAAAATTCTAAATAGTAGAGAACGTGTACCTTATCTATTAGTTTTAGAATTAATTGAATCTGATCAAGAAGCTTTATCAACAAATATTTTTGAAATTGTTTCTTCTTATTTAAAATTTACAACAAATCAATTTAATATTAATAATATCCAAACAAATAATAATAGTAATAATATAAAAATAGATTATATGAAAAAATATTTTTCTGATAAAATTATAAATAATTTTAAACAAGAAAAAGAATTTGAAAATAATAATAATACGAATAATAATACGAATAATAATACGAATAATAATAATAATAATGAAAAATTAAAAGAAATTTTACAAAATAATAATAATATTAATAATAATAATCCATATGGAGAAACATGGAAAGAAAAAACTGAAAGATATAGAAATTTATCGCCATATGGTAATTTAAAAAATTGGAAATTATGTTCAGTAATTGTAAAAACTGGTGATGATTGTAGACAAGAACAAATGGCAGTACAATTGATTTCAAAATTTCAAGAGATTTGGAATCAATCCAAATTACCACTTTATTTGAGACCTTATAGTATATTGGTAACTGGTAGTCATAGTGGTCTAATTGAAACTATACCTGATACCATGTCACTACATAATCTAAAGAAAAACTATCAAGGTTTTACTACTTTGGCTGCCTATTTTAAATCAACTTATGGTCCTGAGAATAGTGATTCATTTCGTTTGGCACAACAAAATTTTATTGAATCTTTAGCTGCCTATTCTATTGTTACCTATCTTTTACAGGTTAAAGATAGACATAATGGTAATATTCTATTGGATAGAGAAGGTCATTTAGTTCATATTGACTTTGGTTTTATTCTATCAAATAGTCCTGGTAATATGTCTTTTGAATCGGCACCTTTTAAATTGACTCAAGAGTGGGTTGATGTTATGGGTGGTGCTACTAGTAGTCAATTTCAATATTTTAATGTACTTTGTAGTCGTGGTTTTGTAGAGGCTAGAAAAAGATCAGATGAAATCATATCTCTAATTGAAATTATGTTATCTGGTCCTAAAATGTCTTGTTTTCAAGGCGGTCGTCTTGCCATTGACTCTCTAAAACAACGTTTCTTTTTAACTAATACAGAAAGAGAATCTCAAAAATATTTTGAAGATTTAATTTCCTATAGTATTGATCATTATAAAACTAGATATTATGACAAATATCAATCTTGGTATAATGGTATTTTACCTTAATATATAATAAAATTTTAAGTTATAATAATAATTTAAAAAAAATATCAGATTAAAGATATCTTAATTGTGGTTAAATCTGCACGTTCATTGCAAAAAAAAATCAAAGGTGATTTAATACACTGTTTTCAAATGAAAATGGTTCCATTTCCCCTTAAAATATCTAAAAGTTTTTTTGTCAAAAAATTTCACCTCAAAGAGATAATTTTTTTTAGTTTATCTAATTTAAAAAGATTAAATTTAATGAAAATTAATGAAGAGAAAAAAAACAGTAATAGATAGATAGATGTAAAACGAATTTTTTTTTTAAATTTAGAAAAAAAAGATCAAATCTAAGTTAATTTTTTTTTTATCTCCTTCTAATTAATAAATCAAAAAAAAAATAATAATAAATAATAATTAATCGCCAATTGTAATAACTTAAATATTATAATGTAATGTAATGATTATATTTTTTAAAC